TCATCCGACGTCTCTGACTCGTTGTCCACCAATAACTGATCAGGACATGCATGTATATTTAAATGGATGGTAGATATATATCTTTTTATTTATTTATTGACAATATATCGGACTGAAAATCCACATATATTTTAGCCAACTATATCTAGTAAGCTCTCATCTTGAATAGCACATAAAGTTGTTGAAAATTGGTGTTTTTAATCAATCCACTTTACATTCTAATTCTAACCATATAAATGATTGCAACCAAATTTATAAACTTAAATAAAATATCATATCAGGTCAAAAACCAAAATCTATCGTATCAATTTAGAAGAATATAACAAACACTAAATGCGAAAACGTACCAGAACTGGTAATCAATAGTGTCTCGATTACATAAGTTGATGGATTGGCTTAGTAATTATGTGACCTTCTAAATTGTAAACGTTGAACATTTTTTTTTTTTTTATAATTCTCTATAAGGGATTTAAAGAACCAATTTCTCTTTACATCCTATGTGAAGACCATGACTCCCTATTATAGACTTAATTTATGATATTTGCATTTTGGCCCCCCAATAAATTATAAAAATCATTTTGGTCTTTACACATTATAATTCCATGACAATTACAACCTTAAATCTTAAAACTTTTTTAAATATAACACTTTAATGGCCACATATTTTTAATATTTACATGTGTGTGCATGGTCCAATATGTTAAATTTTATTCTAATAAAAGTTTACCTTAGTAGCAGTTTTTGGTTAACCAGCTGAACCAAAGAAAGCATTAATAGAAGCCATTTGTAATTTTGTTTGTTTGTTTTGAAGTGTTACACTGAATCCGTATAGTGCCCATCTTGATATAATAATACAAACATATAAACATAACAGATGGCACGCTCGCCACCTGTAGATAAAATCCTTCTTTACAGATGGCTTTGTAGTGTCCTCCAGCCACTGAATGAATAATAATCCTCTTTTCATAACCAAATATTTCATCATAATATATATAGACGTATCCTCTAATTATATATGCAGCCAATTATTGATGGCTATCTAATAATTTAATTATGTTCAACATGTGTAAGATACATTACAATATATGCCAAGCTCCCACATGCATCTAATAATTGTTATAAAGGTATACATGAATTTAGGATATATATATATATATATATATATAAGCTTGAGGTGAGCTCACCAACCAACGCACTTAAACTATTTTGGGATAATATAATGGACAAGTTTTATGCACATTTAATTTTTAATAAATTAATAAAATATTGGTAGCATTAGTTCTTTGAAGAGTAAAAGAAGAGATTGGGGGAAAAAAAGTTACACACGATATAATAATATGATGTGTTATTTAAAATAACTTTTTCATGAAAAGTAACTTTTCCTTTTACTATATAAAATTTTCTTGAACTAACTTCATTTCATCAAGCGAAGATTACTGCTCCTTTTAATTTTATAACCTTTCTTGACTAAAAAATCCTTTTAAAAATAACTTTGAAAATTAAAAAAGACATGATATTGATAACTTTTTTAATATTATAATTGTCTACATAATTTTTTAATAAAAAAATCTAATTTATAAAAACATGACTTTTGAATTTTTTTTTTGGTAGAAAATATTTGAACATAAAAGTATGAACAAGATGAAGATGGGCCAACTTTGTGAAGATGCAAAAGAAGTGACTGGTCCTGTGTGTCCGAGCCGAGACATTGTACGTAGACGCAAGCTTTGTGACGGAAACCTACCTTTCCTCTATATCTGGCTATTAATAGCTTCAATTTCGTTTCTTTTTTTTTTTTTTTAATATTCAAAGATGGGAATTACCCTGAAATAAGAGTACTACATAATAGTAGATTTATCTGCCCAACATAAGGGCAAACACCCAACAGTGGGTTCGGGTAAAAAAATAAAAATAAAAGTCTTCGCTCTTGTGCCGTGCATCTTTTGCAAGAAAATCAGCTACTTTTAGAAACTCACGACTTGAGTAACTAATAACCACTTCCCAGTTTGAGCAAATTAGCTTTCTAGCTTCCACAATCTCTGGACGTAGAGGGCGATCAAAGCTATCCCCGGTATTCAGCAAATTAATTGCTTCAATTGAATCTATGTGACACCTTACTTTGTCTAAATGGTCCTGTTTGCATAACAGTAAGCCAGTATGAATTGCTTAGATTTCAGCAGCAAGAGGGGGAAAACCCACTCTTCTCTGAAATCCCATTAGCCAATTTCCATTGCTGTCTCGGAAAACTCCCCCACAAGTGGCGTGTCCTTATTAGTCAATTGATTCATCAATGTCCAAACTTATAAAGTCCACCTCAGGTGGACACCATCTCTCCCCTGTATCTTCAAAATTCCAGAAAATCTCATGTTTAAGTTTTCCATTTTTCACTGCCTCAGAGAGTTTAAGCTTCAATATCAGGGGTTCTTTTGGATTTTGATTATATTATTACTTTTTAAATTATGATAAATTCCATGGAGGAGACTCTAGAACATTCATGTGAATCTGATTGGATGTTTATAGCATATTTATCCATTACTTAATTCTTTAATTTATCATGACTCTTGTATACTAATTATGAGCTCCCCACTACCCAGGTCAAAAGCCCACTTTCAGTGGTATACAGAGATGATGATATATAGAGTGGCATACAAATCATTAAACAAAAAATAACAGTCATATATTACATGTTTGCATATATATAAAATTTTGAATCAATATATATAAGATAACATCCAAGTTCTCATGACTTTGATACTTCTTGTATATCTTCAACAAGATGTATTGAGATATATAATAAAAGTTAAAGTAGTAAATGTAACCATTAACTATTTTTCAATAACACTAGATAGCCGATACTATCAGGTGATGTGAAATAAGTCCTCAACTTTAAAAAATAAAGCATCTAATAGCCTATAATTAACTTTACCTAGCGGACGTTATGTAGGAAACACAAATGACATGTAGCTGTGTAAATTTAATTATGAACTATTTTTTGGTGAGTATTAGGTAGCCTTTGCTATAAAAAACATATCATCTAACACTTTCCCATCAATTTTGATCAAATACCATTTATTTTTAGACTTATGAGACCCACAACACATCAATCTCTCCAATCTTCTTGTATTCATTCTTAGTCTTAGCTCAAGAAGCAGATGTTCAAAAAGTTCCTATCTAAAAACATTTACGAGGATGGCGCCAACAAGGTAGAAATATAATAATTCATGGCTAAATTAGGTTAGAATCAAGCTTCTTTTACTTGTAGTAAAATCAAGCTTTTACTTCATTGACATTGTCTTTGTGAATGTCTTCAGATAAGAACTCTATGAACATCTTCTTCTCAAGTTGAAACTAAAAACAAAAGCAAAAATATTGAAGAGATTGACGTGTTATGCATCTCATGAATATGAAAACAAATAGTATTTTCATACTTATGAGAAGGGCACAACCTTGAAGATGAAGAAGGTCCAGCTAATAATCAAGCTCAACCGAAGCCCTTTTCTTTCTATGAGATACTAGAATCATCTCAATCCGATAGAGAGGATGAAAGTAAGGGCAAGGAGAGAAAGGATAAGATAAAATGAAGAAGGAACATAAGCGTGATGGGAACGTAGAGAAGGAGGGATTGAATTTCTCTACTGAAATCATTGATAAAATATATCAAAAATAGTTAGCAGCTAAATTAGCGAGACCTTCTTCATCTTTAGGGTCGTGCCCTTCTTGTGGCGATCAAGCAACTTTGAAGTTGAGTTGGAGCACAATGATGTTGTTATGACAAAAAGGTCGATGGTGAAGATGGAGTTATTGAGCTATTGGAAAATTGAAGTAACGCTCCATTTTTAATAGTTTAAGATTTATTTTGTACCACCTCATAATATAAGCTACCCAGTAGGCCTCCCAAAATAATTTAGAGCTAAATTTGCACCTTTACCTAACAATTTGAGTGGCCCCACCATGACAATAAACGTCCATTAGCTTAAAATTTATGAAGGCTGTTGGGTGCTTCATTTTTAATAATTCAAAATTTATTTTACATCACCTCAAAATATAAGCTACCCAATGATTTTCGAAAAATAGTTGACGATTAAATTTACACCTTTAGCCTTATTATTATTACCCCTAATATATGAGGGGCTTGAAGTTTGATGGCTATTAATTCTTGAACCTAAATTTATGTTAATAATTTGCTAATGATACTAATTAAGCCTTTAATTCACAGTTTTCTATTTTCGTACGTTGTGTTATGGGCAACACATGAACTGCGTGTGTAATGCATTCGAATTATCTCTCTCTCTCTCTCTCTCTCTCTCTCTCTCTCTATATATATATATATATATATAAGTGTTGTTTTCGATCAATTAATATAATAAAAAATTGGAACTATATTCCAACCTATCTCAAGGTACGTTGCTTTCGATCCCTGATACTATAACATAATTAAAGAAGTTAAAACCAAGTTGATAAGTACAGATAGTATAAACTAGTAGCAAGTAGCCAATAAAATAAAGTAAATTTCAAGCCAAGATGTTTGCATACAAGTAGTAACGTTGGCTAATTAATTAACAAACCGTGCAAGCTTTAATAACTCACTCACTTTTTTTCCTCATACGGACCATGACACTTACTTTCAATTACATAAATACTAAGACGCGTATCAATTCATTAATTCACAAAATGCTTTTGAATAAGACAATCAGTGATAAGGTCAATCAGCACATATACACAATACACACACACATTCTTCCTTGCCTTTGATGAGCAGCTTGACTAAACCACTTGGCCCATATCTCAGTATAGATTCATGTGGAGCCTTCAAACCACTTCAGTCTTTTTAAAATTACATATATATTCTCATTTAGTTCTCAAATATATTTATGTATATGTCTTGATCAAATTGATCTGTTTCCTTTTTCAATCTCTTTATTACTTAAAGGCCACCATCATTATCGATATCTAGCTATAAATACCCTCACATGCATTTCCCTCCCGTAACAAAATCATCAAGAGACTCTTAGCTTAGTGAGTGTTTCCTATAAAAACACATAAATGGCTACAAACAACAACCTTAGCCAACGTCAAGCTTTCGACGACATCGAGGACCCCTCCAAATTCTACGACGACGATGGCCGTCCCAAACGAACCGGTATGTACATCTCCAATCACATACCACACACACAAACATTGTGTATATATGATGATGATGATGATGATGATGATGATGATGAGAGTGCAGGAACAGTGTGGACGGCAAGCTCACACATCATAACGGCGGTGATAGGATCAGGTGTGTTATCCTTAGCGTGGGCCGTCGCTCAGCTAGGTTGGATCGCTGGTCCTTCTATCATGTTGTTGTTCTCCTTCGTCACTCTCTATACTTCTTCCTTGCTCTCTGATTGTTATCGTCTCAACGACGCCGTTTCCGGCAAGAGGAACTACACTTACATGGACGCCGTTGCTTCCATTCTTGGTGGAGTTAATGTGAGGTTGTGTGGGATATTTCAGTATCTGAATCTTGTGGGAGTTGCTATAGGATACACTATCGCTGCTTCCATCAGCATGAAGTGAGTACTGTCTCTGCACCTATTTATATAATTAGAAACAACTTTATGCCCTGTTTGGTAGCATAAAGAAGATTTTGAGAGAAGTAAAAGAGGAAGAGAAAGCGAGACGCATGCATGCATGTTTGATATATGCACATGAAAGTTGGTCATTTTTTTATGAGGGGGGAGCTGGTTCCATAAGTATAAAAGTACAAGTGAATTTCACCAATTGAGGCGGAAACGAAGATTCATTGTGCCAAATAACCAATTTTTTCAAATTTTTCAAATTCCATCATGGCATTAGAGATAAACAGGCATGAGGAATACACAAAAACCTTTTATTAGTAGTTAAGTAATTAGATAATAGCTAATATATGGTTTGAATATTAATTAACATTAATTGATGAATATATTATTGGGGGAGAGACAGGGCAATCAAAAGGTCAAATTGTTTCCATGAGAATGGGAGAGGAAAGGGATGCAACGTGTCAAGCAATCCGTACATGATAGGTTTTGGGGTAATTGAGGTATTTCTGTCCCAAATCCCAGACTTTGATCAGATCTGGTGGCTCTCCATAGTTGCCGCCGTCATGTCCTTTACCTATTCCACCATTGGCCTCTCTCTTGGAATCGCCAAAGTTGCAGGTTCGTTAATTAATTATGTATTCTATATATACCAACTGATAATTATTTATTTATTATTTTTAACCCTAAAATTATATTGAACAGAAAGTGGTAAAATTAAGGGCAGCCTCACGGGAATGAGCATTGGAACTGTGAGTGAAGCCCACAAAATCTGGAGGACTTTCCAAGCTTTTGGCGATATTGCCTTTGCTTATTCCTATGCTGTTGTCCTCATTGAAATTCAGGTATCCCTCTTTTCCTTTAAATAATAATCTATCAGTTAATCTTTATAATTTTGAATAACGTAACCTGGTCCCTATAATTTTGGTCAGGGAAGACATTAGTGTTTAAGGTTTAAGAAATAACTTGTTTTATTTGCTAAAATAAATAACTAATGTTAAAATTGTAAGATATGAATTGAATTCAAAAAAAAAATCAAAATTTAGAAATTAAGTTATCAATATATAAGTTAAAACTATTGGAAGCAAATGATTAATTTTCTTGAATAATGTTATAAAAGTTATAACCAAAGAATGGGGAAAAGGTTATGGCTTGGTCCTCAAAGTTTCGTTAGTTTCCAATTTGACCCCTATAAATTTAAAATTTACATTTCAAATCCTATATTTTAAAAGATTACCAAAATAATACTAAACCGTATGCTAGATCTTATAATAACATGCAATTGTGAACATGTATATGCAAATGATAGGACACCATAAGGTCGCCACCCTCAGAAGCAAAATCAATGAAGAAAGCAACAAAGATAAGTATCGCAGTGACCACAACGTTCTACATGTTATGTGGCTGCATGGGCTACGCTGCTCTCGGAGACCACTCGCCCCCCAATCTCCTCACTGACTTCGCTTTCTTCAACCCCTTCTGGCTTCTCGACGCCGCCAACGCTGCCATAGCCATCCACCTTGTCGGAGCTTACCAAGTCTTCTCTCAGCCCATCTTCGCTTTCATCGACAAACAAGCCTCTCAGAGATTTCCCAGAAGCCAGCTCTTGAGCAGACAATTCAAAGTCCCATTCCTTCCTGGTTTTGCACCGTACAATCTGAGCCTCTTCAGGTTGCTTTCAAGGACATGTTTTGTGGTGCTCACCACCGTGGTCTCCATGTTGCTTCCGTTCTTCAATGACGTGGTGGGGATCATGGGGGCGTTAGGGTTTTGGCCTTTGACTGTGTATTTTCCGGTGGAAATGTATATTCGACAGACGAAGATACAAAAGTGGAGTGGGAGGTGGGTTTATCTGCAAATTCTGAGCATGGCGTGTCTCGTTGTGTCCGTTGTAGCTGTTGTGGGATCCTTGGCTGGTGTTTTACTTGACCTCAAGAAATACAAGCCATTCCAATCAAACTATTAATTTGTTAATTTGTGTTATGTGTTGTGTTGCGTGTTTTAGTTTCGTAGGATAATTAAGTCATTAATTTTCCTGTAATGAATTTAATTTGTAGTGTAATCTTTTTCTTTTTTTTTTTTATCTTCATTGTGAAATTTTGAATTCTTCAGCTTACTTGTGAATTGTGAGAGCATGTTACTTCCCTTCTACTTTTTAACAGTACACTTGTTATTAATTTATCCCTAATCAATGGTGTTTTATCTACATTTCAGGACTTACTAATTATATGCTTTTGTGTTGAGCATGATTGGTTACGCTTCAATAGCCACATTTGATTTCTTCATGCTTGGTTCGAACGTGCAATATGCTTTAGTGGTGCCACCAATTACTAATGCTCAGAAAAGAGTTGGCTCCAAAGACTTGTTATAACTGTAGGCTCATCAAAATGGTAATAAAGCTTGGCCTTGCATGGTGATCCAGCAATGAGGATTTTTGTTGTTGTGATGGCTTCAGTTATATGACCTTGCTTGTGCTACTCTCAGATTTCAGGCACATACAGGAGATTTCGTATTTGATCGCGTAGTGGGAAGGGTGCAACAATAGAAATATCCGGTCCCCCCACGTCACATACCAGCTTCAAAATTTATTCATTCAAAGGGCAAGACGTATGTTTATGGTTCTAATATAACACGACTAAATAAATCTGCGCTTCGCTCACTACTATGAGCACTTGGCTTTGTTACAACGTAGATATTGACATCAGACTTTCAACAAATGGTGAATTCTCTGGATAGTATAGTCAGATACTAGGAACATGTGAATAGTTTAAGACATTTTATCCAATGATCACCAATGATAACATACAACTTGAGAATTTACATGTTTTTTTTTTTGGCACAACTTTATATGTAGATGTTGAACATGAATATATATATATAAATCACAGCTCAACCGTGAAGTAAATGTGTTCCCACATTTTGATCTCAATCCTCAGGAAGGGTGTGTGTATATATATATTGAATAAATCGTACTATATATCACAAGTAATCAAATGAACAAACAAAAAACAGATCACTCATGACATGATCCCTCACTTGGATAGAAATGAATAAGATTGACACGAAGAGGGATCCCCACAAGCATATTTTACATCTCAACAGAACACGAATGCACACTCATAACAAGTGTGGAACCCCCTAGTAACAACCCCCTGAAACAACGTCAATCAACCTTCATAGATGGAAGCAATGTTTTCAGCACTTGCGCATTTGAACTTCAATCCACATACATGCAACAGGGGAGGCAGCTCATAAAACCGCGACTCGATCAAATTCCTCTCAACTCGTTAAGCTCATCAGAGACTAGAAAAGCTCCTCTGAATTGAATTTATTCCATGCTTCCTTTTGCCCAAAAAAAAAAAAAAACTTTTAGGCAACGATAAAGTCATCACAGAAAAAACAACATACAGAAAATCTTTTAAAATCCTTCAGTAAGCAGTGGGCTGAAGATGAATACCAGTGAACTATCAGAAATTAAAAAAGTTGAATTTTTAAAGCATGTTTGCCCAAATACGAGGAGTCAATGATTTTTACCCAGGAAAAAGAAAAGAAAATAAAATAGTTAATTATTTGCAGAAAAGCAACATCTCCACCCCAAGATGAAAGAAGAAGAAAGAAAAAGGAAATGGGTAAACCAGCCCGATTTAACATTTCAAAAAACAATGTGACACGACATCCAATAAAGAATATCAGTCAACTCAGTCATTGCTTCAGTATAAAATCATTATAAACCTATTATTTATCAATGAATAATGCCGCTATCAGTAAAAGGAACATACAAAACCAATCAAAATAACCAATAAACAATAGAAATTCTAAGATGACACAAATAATTGGTTTGAGAAAACAGCATGTGGTCAATCCATGATCTACAGCAGAAGACCCCCTACTCCAGTATTAGATGTAAGACGAAGGAAAAAAGTAACATTAACAAACAGAACAGCTTTTAACTCAGCCAATGTTCAGCAATGTTAAACCTGATAAGCTGCAAAGCCCTTACCCAGCATCTCTTTATCACGAGGAAGCATCTCTTTATCACGAGGATACAACATAAAAGCAAAGCAGCAAACAACGTAGATATTGCCTAAACTATTTTCTTGATTTTATGAGCAAGCAAACCCATTTTATAAAAGCCACAAAGACATAAAATATTTTACTCCATTCTGGTACACATTCATACCACTGGTTTCTAAATTCATTATTTCAATAGAAGTCAACAATTAAAACATCGAGAAGTTGTAAACTATACAATGGTCTTCAGTACCTTGAGTAGATCAAACACCTTCTCTGCAACATATTTCTGTTGAAGATTGGCACCCTTCTGTTGCACCTTATCAGGATGGATGCATAAAGTAGCTTTCCTATAAGCTTTTTTAACTGATGCAGCTGTTATCAAATCAGTCAAAGAAACAGGCTGCCAGCCACATTCAGGCCAAAGCACCTAACCATTCATGTAGGAAACAAGTCAACGTAAGTTGGCAAAACTTGTAAAACAAAAACCAATAGAAAATTACAACACCACTGTGAAAACACAACTCAAGACCATTTGGCTGCTGTCAAAAGTCAAGGCCAATTTTTCAGGTGCAATACAAGCCTTCTGAAAACAAGCTTATTTTGGTCTCGTTTCCACTGGATTTACAGTCAATAACAAGTACATTATTATACTGCATTAAAAGTTTTTCCTTGTCATTTTATTTATTGATTCTGTTGTAAATAGAACAAGCTCTAAGACTACTATTGCAATTTGCTCTTAGCACTAGGGATATAATTGTTAACTTCCGTAGCCTTTGACGCATAAATAGAGGTCCTCAACTCTTGTAAAATCATTAGAGTTTCTTTCAAGGAGAAGAATCATACTCTATTATTTCTCTAATCAACTAATATCAAGCTCTCTGTACGCAAGCTTGTTAATTTGAGATGTGCGGAGTGTAATCAATGAGAAATAACAAGAATTGTTATAATTTCTTAGCAAATAATCTGACTGGAATTTGCTAGCCAGGGAATTGAAATATCAAAAATCTACATGTTAAGTACATACATATTGTAAAGTTGAGAGTAAAGCACGCAAGTTCCCTTCTTTTCCTGCAGCCCATCGCTTAATTTCAATATCCAATGTTTCTGCAATTCTCTGAAATCAATTCACAGGTAAAAATTAAATGATAAAACTAAAATTTTGACATTATCACGAGCTGGCGAAACTTGATGAAAGGAAATTCACAAGCACAACTCAGAATAACAAAACATTAAATTAGAATATATACTATCATCATTATATACATACAAGTAAACAGATAATGGATTTTCACCCAAAAATTATAAACATAGTGGATTTATTGGTCAAAGAAAAGCGGTGGATTGGGAAAAAAAAAATCTGATTGAAAATAACATAGATACTCCCTCCACTGCTATATGTAGGTCACTTCTAACTACCTCGAGGTAATTAAATTATTGATGTTCTCTGAAAAGGAAAGAAATTTCCCAGTTTATCCTTATTAAATGATCATCTTTAAAAGCATTTTCTCTCTCATACGTAACCTCTTACCCAAGTCATAGAAAATTGTGAAAGAGTATATCCAACTCACAGAACATTGAAAAAGGGTAAAACAGGAAGGAAGTAATTAATGATCCACCTTTTTATGTAAAGTGACTTGTAAAAAAGACCATCATTTCCTTCTAGAAAGTGACTTGTACCTAGAACAGGAGGGAGTACATGGTGACCTAATAGACCCTAAGGCCTGCCAGACATAGCTGGTGATCAAGAGGGGAAGTGCTTACATGTCTCTCTGCTTGCTCTCTCTGTGTTTGCAAGTCTCGCTGATTCTTCTCGGCCAACGCTTTTGCCTAGCAAAACATGACAAGAGGCATAAATCATAATATCAAATATGTAAAAAGATGTCGTGTACCTCACATCCTTTCTTCAAATAAAAATGAAGATAAACTAAAGGAACACATACTGCTCGCTCCTGAGTCCTCTGGTGGCGATCCAACCTGGCTCTTCTTCTTTCTTCAGTTTCCCCTTCAATATCTTGAAACTCTCCTGATGATGCAGCAGCTTCATCCCATAAAAGAGAGGGAGCAATGATAGCCAAGTAAGCAATATATGATAAAGGAATTCAAAACACTGCCACATCAGTAAACATCACATTAAAAATATTAAAACTACCTCCAAAAATTGAGGAAAGGTCATCAACAATATTAACTGACGATGATGCTTTCTTCATGCTTGTAGATGCCCCAGTTGATTTCCTTGTAACATCTGCCTGAAATTGTGTATCAAATAAAGAATCCTGAAAAAGTTCAAGTTCAAAATATTAATACCTAATCTTGCAGTAGTATCAGATAAAGTTTCAAAGAAACAGGTTCTCACTGAAGAGCTAGCCCTAGGAGGCCTTGGAGCACTGCTAGCTCTTGTACCCATGCCAAAGAAGGATTCAAGATCATTTTCATTCTTTTGTTGATTCACCCTTGCAGCTGCTGCTGCTCTTTCTCGGGCCTCTGCTGCAGCCCTTTCTCGAGCCTCAGTAGCAGCCCTTTCCACAGCAGCACGTTCTGCTCTAGCCCGTGATTCAGCCTCAACCCTTCTATCACGTGCTTCCCTCTCCTTTGCTTCAGCTCTTTCCCTTGCTTCTGCAGCAGCCCTTTCAGCCCTTTCCTTTGCCTCAGCAGCAGCTCTTTCACGGGCTTCAGCTTGTGCTCTTTGAACAGCAGCCCTTTCAGCTCGCTCTCGAGCTTCAGCATTAGCTTTTCCAACAGCTGCCCTCTCAGCTCTTTGACGAGCTTCAGCAGCTGCTCTTTCACGTGCTTCTCTTGTAGCTCTTTCTACAGCATGCCTTGCCATTTCTCTTTCCCTCTCAAGTCGCTGCTTTTCTCTTTCTTTCTCCTCCCTTTCCCTTTCAAGTCTTCTTCGCTCCCTTTCCTCCCTCTCTCTTTGCTGTCGTTCACGATCCAACTTCTCCTGTTTCTCTCTCTCTTCCTGCACAGCTCTCTCATCTCTCTCAAATAGCCCAGCTTCCCTGCTTCTGGCAGCCTTAGTACTCTCTCTCTCCCTAACTTCTTTTGCATGCCTAAATTTGGCTTCAGCTCTATCCATAGCCTCCTTCATAGCAGCAGCAGCTGAATTCATCTCTAATTCTTCATTAGGAAAGCCACCTTCATGCTCATCATCATAACTACGACTCTTGTCCACAGAAAAATCCCCACATTCATCAAACGGAGATGCAGAGGAAGCTCTTGCTGCAGCAGAAGACTTAGGACCTTGAGAAAATCCAGTGGAACTAGGGAAAGAAGAAAATTCTTTAGCCTTCCTTCTAGCATTGGCAGGTCCTGATTTAGAAACTTGTACAGGTCTTGGAGGAGGAGGTCTTGAAGGAGGGGGAGCAGCAGTTGGTTGTGTAAAAAGAGGAATCTCAGATACTGTCAGCCACACATCATTAAATGATTCCAAATTTTCTTCAAAATTTGGAGATGTGTTCCCCTGAATATTAGCCTCTTTGAAACCATCATTATTATATGAAGGGGAAGAAGCCTGCTGGCCAACTGGTTTATTAGAATCAGATGAAGATGAATATGCAGGCCCATCAAACGGTGTCTCTGGAAATTCCCTATCATGGCCAACAGGAAACTTGTCTTGTGAAGGTCTCTCAGGACCCTTTTTAAAAGATTTCTCATCTGGCTCTTTATCTCCAGTCCAACTTGAGCTTGAATTAGTCCTTGGATGACTGGTATCCTTTCTGTTATTTCTCTCTGATGAGAATGCAGGTACTGACTTTCCAAGCCCATCAAAGGGGTCAATATCATCATATATTCTGCCATTAGAAT